GGAAGGAAGGAGAGAAAGAAAGGAAGAAGAGAGGAAGGTAGGTAGATAGGAAGGAAGGAAGGAAGAAGGTAGGTTGGAAAGAAAAAGAAAAAAAAAAGATATGTAGGTAGGTAAGAAAGGAAGGTAGGTAGGGAAAGAAAGAAAGGAAAGAAAAAGAAAGTAAAGATAGAATAATAGAAAGATAAGGTAGGAAGGAAGGAGAGAAAGGAAGGAAGGAAGTAGAAGATAAGGAAAGAAAGAAAAAAGAAAAAAAGGTAGGAAAGTAGGTAGGTCGGTAGGAAGGAAGGAAAGAGGAAAAAGAAGGTAGGAAACAAAGAGGAAGGTAGGTAGCTAGAAAGAAAGGAAAGAGAAAAATTGAAAGAAAGAAGGTAAGAAAGAAAGGAAGGTAGGTAGGAAGGAAAGAAAGGAAGAGGAAGAAAGAAAAGGTAGGTAAAGAAAGAATGAAAAAAAAAGAAAAGATAGGTAAGGAAAGAGAAAGGAAAGAAAAAGAAAGAAAAAAGAGTAAAGATAGGAAGATAAGATAGGAAGGAAGGAAGAAGAGAAGGAAAGGAAGGAAGATAGAAGATAAGGAAAGAAAGAAAAAAGAGAAAGAAGGTAGGAAAGTAGGTAGGGAGGAAGGGAAGGGAGGAAGGATGGAAGATTATTGTGGTACCGGCCGTCCTCCTTTTGGCTTTTGGCCGGACTGCGGGGGAAGTTTGTGCACTGGGAAGATTGTACTCGGGTTGGGAAAAGGACTCTTGGATGAGGTCTTTTTGTTTGCAAGGACAGCCGGATGACACAGACACACCGTACATCGATCTGCGTCACTCTTTGCACGAAGATTTGGAAGCCCCTCTGTTTGTCTCTTTGCCTATGCATGTGCTCCCCCTCCCTCCCTCCCTCCCTCTTTCTCTTTTAAAGCTGAACAGAAGCATAGACTGACAGACTACCAATCCATCTTGGTTCATCTTTTATGTAGCAGTCATTGATAAGTGTACAAATACAGGCAAAATCACATGCAGGGTTCCTTAAAAATCTAAATGATGATCCAGTAATTGCTTCAACACTATAGTGCTAATCAGTAGGATATCCAAACTTAATTAGTTGGAATATCTCTTAACCCTTACAGAATCACAAGCATGATCCCGGGCATGATCTTCAATAGATCCTTCATCAATCAACCTGCCCAATCCCATATTTCATTACAATCTAAAAAAGAGATCACCTTTCTCCCACTGGTTAATCTTGTTGAGGAGGTGGCAGGATTTTTTCATCCTTGGGTTTAAAGTTCTTCAGTTTTATCCCAAATTGATCAAAGAGAACGGTTGGGATCTCAGAGTCCTGCAAGATCATTTCCGTACGCTCCTTTCCGGTTGTGAAAATGAGCCGCTGACCCATATAGGTTAGACGCCCACCAGCTGCTTTGTGCAACGAACAAAAGGATTTGCAGGTGAAGATAGAACAGGGTGAAGTCTGGTGGTAAAGACACATGTCATAAAAGTCTTCCAGTTGCTTCTCCTCTAGGGTGAATTTATAGAGGAATCTCTCCCTTTCTCCAGAAATTTCCCGACGTTCCAGTACCCAAGTAGCTCCTTCCAGGCTCAACCAAAATATGCCTCCTTCTTGAACTTGTTCCACCTCCGGCTTCAGCTCTAACGGTTCCAGGAAACCTTCTCCGAACCCAACATCGCAGAGGAACTGCTGTCTGTCCAAGTCTACCAAAATGATCAAGTGGTCCAACGGAGGACCATAACACTGCGTGAAGCGGTTCCTGACACGTGCCGCTAAGATTTTGGTTTCAAATCCCAAAGCTTGCAACAACCACTGGAAAAGTCCATTCAGTTCATAACAAAACCCACCCCGGTTGTTTTGGACAATCTTCTCATACAAACGAGGCAATTCCAGGCAGATGGGCTCTTGACAATGGATGCTGAGGCTCTCAAAGGGTACAGAGAAGAGATGGGAACGGTGGAGGCCCTTGAGGGTCTCCAAAGAAGGGCAGGCGGAGGCACCTTGGAATCCAATCCGTTGGAGGTAACATCCGACATCCATCTCAGACTGGATGGAAGATCTTGGAAAAAGTGAATGGGGAAGTATTTCAAGATTCCTTCTTTTCAACTCTTTCCAAGAACTCGTTCTGCTCTCTTGATCACTTTCAATAACGAAGCTCTAAACTCTGGGAGAGACTCCAAGACACTCTAGTTCCCAACTCTCTTCTCCTTTCCTGCCCGATTTCCTTCCCCTCTTCCCCGAAAATCTTTCCTGTTGTAATTTCTGCTATGAGTTTTGTTGTGTATGCAGCGGCTGATAGGTTCATTATTCCAAGGAACTGAAAGAGGAAGTGAAAAAAGTTAGAACCTCCCACTTGCTTCGTTCTATAATTTATGTATATTAACCCTTTTTCACCTCAAATCTCTTTAGGGCATTAAATTTCTTAGGGTATACAATGTTCTGCTTTTCAGGTTTCTTTTGCAGAGATATTTTGGGAAGGAGATTTAATTGAACTTGCTCAACACATGGATTTTTATGGAGAGCAACCAAGCTTGCTGCCAATATCTGTGCTGGGTATGGAGTCATGATAGAGGCAGTGGTGAAATGTAAAATTTGTTACTACCAGCTCTGTGGGCATGGCTTGGTGGGGGGTAATGTGACTGGGTGGGCATGGCCAACCTTTTTTTTTTTTCTTTTAAAAGCATTTTTTCTACAACCTCTTCGGCCGAAGAGGTTGTAAAAAAATGCTTTTAAAAGGCTCTGATGATGAAAGAAAAAATGAGGATGAGTAGAAAAAATGCTTTTAAACGTAAAAAAAAAAAACGTCTGATGATCGCGCTGCTCAGCTGGGCTGGGGGGGGGATGGGGTGCAGGGATTTCTGCTACTGGTTCTCCAAACCACTCATCACCATCGCTACCGGATCAGGTGATCCGGTCTGAACCGGGAGCATTTCACCCCTGGATAGAAGACTCTCTAAACTATTCAAGCTGAGCTGTTTTAATTCTCAGTAAGACAGACTTGATTGTGTGTCTGTGTGCACGGATGCCTTCATTTACTTAGATAGGGATCTGAGACTCTGTCCTGCTGTCACACATACACAACTTTCCTTCTTGTTTTTTCTATCTTCTCCTTCAGTCATTCAATCACCACAGAATTCGCAGATGAATTTTACCTCATCCTGATTCAAGGAACTTTCTTTGTAGAATGTGGAAATGTTCTACATTCAACATACAGTAGTGGCCAAAATTGTGCAAACCTTTTGGGGAAAGTATATTTTTGAGGTTTGATGGCTAATAAAACCACTTTTTGGGGGGCGGGGCGGGGGGGAGTTTCAAGATAATCCTATTCCACTGCTGGAATGGCCTGGGAATAGCCCAGACCTTAACCCAATTGAAAATCTATGGAGCCGACTAAAGAAACTTGTTAGTCAGAAGTGACCCAGCAATAAAACCCAGTTAATAGAAGCCATCATTCAAGCTTAGTTTTACATTATAACAGCTGCAGAACTAAAAGATTTGGTTCACTCCATGGGAAGACGTCATAGGGCCATAATTCATGCTAAAGGTTACCCAACTAAGTATTAACTGACATGGGGATAATATTTGTATATCTCGTTTTTTCTTTAGTGATCATTTATGTACCTCTTGTTTTTTCTACGTGTTTCACTTTTCTTCTTTATACTGTAACTGCTATTCTAATAGCAAATCCTTCATAAAAGTTATTGCATTACATTCTTGCTTAAATTATCTTTCCATATATATATATATATATATATATATATATATATATATATATATATATATTTGTTTATGGCACCTTAGGACATACCATCTATCAAAAGAAGACACATACGAACCGCTATCTCAACGCCAAATCACACCACCATCCAGCACAAATAAACTCTGTTGCCAAAACATTAACCACAAGAACTAAACGTCTGGCTGATGAAGCACATTTACAAACAGAATTATGTACACTAACTAATGTACTCACATCAAATGGATTCTGTAGAAATAAAGTCATCAATATGATCAAACATACAACACCAAGACAGAATAAAAAACAACAAGAGGAACAAAACAATGGGAAAGCCATCTTGCCCTATATAAGGGGAACAACAGATAAAATTAGCAAAGTACTACATAAACACAACATCAAAACCATATTTTGCACAGATAGAAAGATATTGTCCATTCTGAGAAACCCCAAAGACAAAATAGAATTAGAAGATCAAGGCATATACGAAATCCCGTGTGCTTCCTGCCCATCAACATACATTGGACAGACCAACAGAAGAATGAGTGTGCGCATCAAGGAACACAAAAACTCAATACAAAAGCAAGAACACACATCATCATTAGTTCAACACATAAATACAACAGGACACAATATTAATTTTAATAAAACAAAAACAGTTGCAAAAATAGAACATCTCAATGGCAGGATAATCAGAGAAGCAATTGAAATAGAAAAAAGACCATATTGCATGAATAAACGGGATGACACTTCACGTCTGCCTACTATTTGGAAACCTGCTCTCATAGATAGACGAATCTTAACACCATATATAAAACATAGACCAAACATTAATCAAAAAAATCCCAACCAAATCATATTCAAACCAGCCACAAAGATGAAGCCCTGCCACCTAGTGGAGAAAAACCGACCATACACCCGAAGCCAAGCCAATAAACACACACTGGGACTCCCAACCAATCAGAATGAAAAGGTGGAGCCATCCCAGAATACCAGCACCAGATTTGAAATACCAACGACAGTTAGTGCAAAATGACTGCTGACATAAGCCTGATGATGGCAGATGGGATTCTGTCGAAACGTCGCTTCTACCCTTTTAGGGATATATCCACAATTACACGGGAAGAAACCCGAAATATTAACTATACACACACATATATATATAATTTTATGGTACTACTCCAAGTGGTGGTTATTAGCTAGTTTTACAAAATACACTTTTCCAAAAAGGTTTCTGTTATGGATATTGTTGTTGTGTTACTTTAAAGCTTTACTGCTGATTCATTGTAATGCTGAGTCATGCTGTAATTAGATAATCATTAGTGAACATATTTAAGAAAGGTACTGTAATGTATTCAGTTGATGATAAGCTACCATAGTGTGAGGAGTGCTATTCATTATGTTACCATCGTGGTTTGTGAACCAGAGTGAGTTTGTTATTCTAACCAACTACTGTTTGTTTGGTAAGAAGATATCTGTAACTTTGGACTGATTTAAATGGCAAAGACTTGGAATTTGTTTAAAGACTATGAAACTGTTTTTTCACTATAAAGTAAACTTTTGATAAACCAGTTTGCACATCTCTTATTCATTGCTCTCAGCAACGTTTCTCTGTGCTCTACACTCTGCTGGTTGGTAACACAACAACAATATCCTTAACAGTTTCCACAGTTTTGGCCACTACTGTATCTTGATTTCACAAAAAAAGAAAAAAAAAACCCCAATATTTGCCAAAATACCACATAGCAAGTGTGTGCTGAATAGAATAGCAATTTAAGCTCCTACATGGGTGACTTAGAAGCAGACCATCAGCCAAATTGGTCGATTGATTGATTTAATTCAATTTGGATGTGTCCTGACTCCAAATGATCCTGGCTTCCAACAAAAAAAAAGGCATAACAGCAGCAAAATACAGAAAACTAACTCAAGTACATATATAAAAATATAACTACAAAATAACCACAAGGTGGCATTCCAATAACAAAGCATTCTGTTGACCCTTTCCTAGCAGCAATTTAGTTTTGAGCATTGGATGACTAAATTTTTCTAGTAGAAGTAGCAATAATAAAACTTTTCTGTGCTTAAACAGAGTTGGAAGGGACTTTGGAGGTCTTCTAGTCCAACCCCCTGCTCAGGCAGTCAATCCTGTACAATTTCAGCCAAAGGGTTGTCCAATCTTTTCTTAAAAACTTCCAGTGTTGGAGCATTCACAACTCCTGCCCCTCATCCTGCTGCTTCTGCTCAGCTCCTGTGCAGCCCTGCTGCCCCAGAAGAGCAGGAACAGCTGTGCACCAGGCAGCTGGTCCTCTGGTTTCCAGCACTCCTGCACATGTGAAGGCCAGCTGGCAGGCGTGCCGGAACCTGGAAGAGCAACAGGTGATGGCTCCCATGCCTGCAGAGATGGCTCTGTGTGCCACTTCTGGCACACGTGCCATCATGGCTCTATACAATCGCTTTTGAATGTAGGAAGTTCTTTTAATCTTTAATTAAATAAGTTAGTCTTTAAAAAAAAAGTGTTGGGTATTCATTATTATAAATTCTGTTGATACGTTCAAATAATGGTCACTCTTCAATTAAGTTTTTGAGATACCCAAGAGGCCAAGATGAAGAGCAACAATACACAAACAATTTATTAGAAACGATGAAAGGGACCAGAACAATTTCATCAGAATCGTGACCTCATACAATTTCAACAGAAGTTTTGAGGAGACGGAAAAGCCAGTAAACTCCTGTATTCCCAATGTTCATATGCAGAATCCCTTAGTGGTGTCAACATGCTCCTAAATTATAAATAATTACAATAATTCTTCAGAGAGTATATAATTTTTCCATGATAATTCATATAGCCTTTCTGTTAATGAACTGTTGATCATCTCTAAATAGAATTCTTTAATTTCTTCACTGAGAAATCTTCTGTGGCAATTTGTGCAGGTTCCTCCAGGAAAGATCCACAGCTTCCTGAATAGTGCACAATATCTGGCTCAGTGGTGAGTTGCCCCCGCTTTGGACCAGCTCTATAGAACCGGTAGTAAAACCAGCGGGAGGCTCCACCCACTGACCCTGATGTCATCAGAAGCGATCTGCGCATGCGCAGAAGCAAAGGCGCGCTCGTAAGTGAAGCGAGCGCGTGCGATACCGTTGCAAACCGGTAGTAAAAGTTAGTAGAACCCACCCCTGATCTGGCTTCCATAAAAACTGTGTGTGTGTGTGTGTCTGTGTGTGTCTGTGTGTGTGTGTGTGTGTGTGTGTGAAAGAGAGAGAAATCTGGAAATACAGGAAACAAAATTAGGACAACTATAAAGTGTTCAAATGCCTGTATATCAGTTCTAATAGTACAAGTAGTCCTTGACTTACAACAGTTCATTTAGTGACCAGACAAAATTACAACTGCCCTAGAAAAAGTAACTGATGGCCGTTTTTTACAGGTACGACCTTTGAAGCATCCCCATGATCATGTGTTCGAAATTCAGCTGCTTGTCAACTGGTTCGTACTTATGACCATTGCAAGTGTCCTGGGGTTCATGTGATCCCCTTTTGCAACCTTCTGATAAGGAAAGTCAAT